GGGGAGGATATAACTTCTATGTTGTAGGAGAAGTATAGAAAGCTTGCATTTTTATTATAGAATGATTGTTTTGAATTTTGTTTGTCCTCATTTTGAAAGTTGGTGGATTCGAAGTACAATTTCCTTTTGTCATTCTATAATGAAAATTATTAGATCTCTCAACACAACTCATTGTAAGGGCTTATTTTATTTAGAGCTAGAGAGCCTATTCCTGCTTGTTATCCTCTATCTTCGATATAAACAAAATTTGCCAAAATCACTTTTTCTCCAATTTTAATAAGCCAATTTATAGAAAATTCTATTTTTTTTATTTTTTTTTTTAATGAGCTCCATATCGAATCATATCTCCAAGGACGGCTTGGATTCTCTCTCCCACCTCAAAAGGGAGGTGTAACATAATCACGTAATGTTCCTAGTGGTACATGAAAGTTTCACCCTCAACAAATGAAAAAACTGATTTGGAGCTAAAAAAAGCTCCAAATGACCCCACCAAAAATAACTCTTTAACATACATTTTTGGAATAATCAAATCTATGGTTTTGAATTTCTTAAGATCATATAAGTTGCCTACCTATTTGTTTTGGGCCGAGGAACGTGCATAGAGTGGTCTTGTAGGACCACCTTAACGAATACTTAAATAATTCACCAATTTCTTTTTATTTTTTTTCCATTGTCAATAAGAAATTGCTTTTCCTTGCTTTATAAATATGTAGAGGTAGAGCACACCCACATATAACACGCTTGGTTCACGTGATAATATTTTTATATGAAAAAACTCTCCTATGTTTATATAAAAAAAACTCTCCTATGTGATTAGGTGTGGAAGTTTTTCACACAAATTAGCAATCGATTGGTGTGAAAAATGCATTGGGATCAATTGGTATGAAAAACTCTCACACCTAATCATATGCGAGAGTTTTTTCATGTGAAAATACTTTCATATGAACCAAACATACCCAGGTAATACACATTATAGTTTATAATCTCATGCAGTGGGGACTGCATTTCTACATTTGCAATCCCTGAGGTATAAAGCATCCATCTTAAAGATGGATAAAAACAATTGAAACTAATACTCCAAATATTTCCTTAAGG